AGATATGACTGATTGTCGTAAATAATAAAGAAAACACAAAGTAAAGAATGGTAATGAGACAGACCTCACTTAGGATAGTATAAAGACAGTGGTTCTCACACTTGACTGTGCATCAACAGTATTAGGAAAGCTTTTTTAAAAAGAAGAAGGGAAAAAGAAAAGAAAAAAATATTCTGCATCTCACCCTCCTGATTATTGAATCTCTAGAGAAGTGACTTGAGGATATGCAGTTTTAAAGGTTTTCGTCCTGATTTGATACTCTTCCAGGTGTGGGAACTACAGGCACTCACGTGTGTAACAAATAACTTTTACCATAAGAATCTCTCTCTAATAAGGAATATCAGAGAAGTTTTTCTTGTTTGAAGAAAGGAGGGGTTATAATACATATATACACATATTTATACATATATGTCAAATACATTAACATCCATTATCCGGTAGAGGGTATACACTAATGTTTGCCTATTTTTAAACTATTAGTGAGAAAGTTGAGTGTTATGTAACCTTTGCTAGTGGTCATCACGTATAACAGTAATAAAAATCCAGATAATATTCTCTTCCAAATTTCAAACACATTAATCTGTTTTCAAAATTGTCAATATTCATTTGAAAGAATTAGCATACCATTTATGCAGAAGCTTTCCACAGCCAATACCCTTTTCCAGTGAAGAGATTAACAAAGAACAATGGATTTCCTCTGCTAAATCATGATTAGGGACAGTGTTCAAAAGTTTGTTTTTTTATTTTTTTAAACAGGAACTCTTTCAAAACTTTAGCAGGAAGCCAAACCATTTTAAAGAAATGGAGAAAATTCCTGTCACCATACTCTTACCCACAGAAATAGTGAAGACTTTGTGTTTTATTCTGGTTGTAAACTAAATGTTCCAGAAAGATAAATGGAAAAGAGGGCCTCAGATGGACACTCTGACCCCACAGCCATGAACTGGGGTGGCAACCGCTACTTACGGTCAAGAGGAGGCCTCACGTTATAGAAGTTGATGTTCTTGGCAAATGCCCAATTTTCTGAGAAGATAAAGATCTGGATGACAGCTACAGCTAGGGCGGGACAGAGAGGCAGCATCCTGACCTTGTGTTTTGGACGGTCCAAACGCATGTATCTACAATGAAAAGGCAGACTGGTTCAGTTTCTTCATATTTTACACATCCACGGGAGCATGTGTTGTTTCTGTCTGGAAAGCTCAATGATTCAAATATATTCAGCCATCTACCTGTTGTGCAGGGCCAGTACCTGTGAGTAAACAGGTACTTTTTGATCAGATGAAAAGTAAGCAATTACTGCCTTCTACTGGTCAGGCCTCTGCACGAGCCAGGTGAGTTCTAGCAGGACGCCCAGTGGCCTTTCAGGTTCAGGAAGAACAGGCATCCAGAACTGGCCTGCCCTCCCACTTCCATGGTGCCTGAGGCTAGCTGGTTTATTGCATGCTGAGTCACCTGATCTCTTGAATCCACCCTGGCTCTGAGTCATGTTCAACTCAAGACCACCTATCTGTTAAGTCCGTTCCCTGAGTAAACACCTATGTTTGATAAATTTTGCAACCCTCTCAAAACCTGGAGGAAACAGTAAAAGTGAGAGCAGTGGGAAGGACAGTAGGGAAAGGAACAATGAGTCTGAGGAATAAAATCTCTGCCAGATCCCAGCACACAGACGTTGAGAAGAGAAACGAGTCACCCTGAAATGCCAGCCCCACCTGTTTCTGTCACACTGGGGGCAAGGAGAGGCTGTAAGGAGGTTCTAGAGGAAACAGGATAAAAGTTGTCTGAAAAGCTGAAAGCCATATAATGTCAGTCCTGGCCCACAAATACTACTCACTGCGTTCATAGACTACGTAGGCAGGGATGAAACCTAGCGAAAGGACAGACATGCACACAGCACTCAGGAAAAGACAGGACATCTTAAGCCCCACAGATTCTACCTCCTAGAGGCAGACCTGGTAGCAAGAAAAATCTATAATTATAATGTCACCACTGACAGGCTCTTTTTGTCAAGGGGGAGGTGTGGGCAGTAGCAGAAGAATGTAACTTGGAGTCCAGTTTTTGGTTCAGGTGTCAGGTCTGCTACTTACTAGCTGCCTGACCTTAAACAAGCTCTTTAAACTCTATTAAGCTCACTTTTCTTATCTGTAAAGTGGCTTACTAATACTTGCACTGCCCACCTGTGTAGGCAAATGTGAGCATCAAATGCAGGCTGAGACAGGGTCATCACAGGATTGTGTATGTAAAAGTACGCATAATAAAAGTTCTGTGAAAATGTTGGAATATTAAAGTTCAATAATACTGGCTGAATTCATTTTCTTCTTGCTGAATCAAATGGCTTCAGTGTTTAGGGAATTTTTCAAAAAAAAAAAGAAGGTTTGTCCTCTACACATATGAGCATAATCCTTCACATGGACATTTGGTTTGAAGCCAAGGTGATAATGCGTGGATTCTAAGAATTTTCTTCCCCCCTGTTGTGAGTATATTGGTTTTGCCCATTTGGCTACTAATGTCTACCTATGGAGATGGAACTGAATATTAGACAAAATGTAGACACAACATCACATCATCCCTATAGATGATATGTTTGCCACTGATAGAACTGAGTCACTAAGGAAGTACTCAATGTAAAAACAAAAACCCTGGTGAGTAAGTTTCAAAAAGCAACAGTGTTAGACTTTCTACTGCATTCCAGCTCAGTACATAATTGGTCCTGGTGATATACAAAAATATATATAATTCTTTCCTGGTTCATTTCAGAAACCAAGATTGACCTTTCATAGTTATTGGATTTCTAAATTCTCTTCTTATACTCTTTCTGAAGAAATGGACATTTATCCAATAATATTATTCCTTACAGTCAAGTGGTTATGCTGATACAAATTCTGCTTCTCCCATTCATTTCTCTGAGTCGGTCTGTTCCCTAGTCATGATTAATCTGTAGACAAGGAATGGATACCCCCTCTGTACACCAGTGGAGACCCTTAGAGTAGGGGAGACTAATCCCTTTTTTGTAAACCTTAGAATAACTGTGCTGTAATAGCAATCCACAAGTATTCTTGTAATACAGAGATGATGCCTAAGATTAGTGATTTCAGAATCATGTTTCTGACACTCAAATCCTTTTTTTTTTTTTTTTTACCACTAAGCAACTATAGTTGCTACAGGACCTTAGACAACTTGCTGAAGCCTTCCAAGCCTCACCTTTCCCGTCTGTAGAACAGGCATAAGACAGTATTCACCTCACAGTTTTTAAGTGAGGACTGAATGACCCAATACGAAGCACTCAGTTGAGTGTTAAGCACATGGTTAAAGCTATCAATATATTTATCGAGCACTTTGGACTCAGCAGTAAAGAGCATTGGCTCAAGCACCTGCTTCCAAACCTGCTACTTGGTGCAAGTTCCTTAACTTCTGTATCACAATTTTTTTTATCTATATAGTGGAAATAATAATGATACCTACTTCATAGGATTGTAGGAATTAAATGCATTATATTAATGCATGTAAAGCACTTGAACTATCTATTAGCAATATGCCCGGAATTTTGCTAATTTCGACTAAGTAAACATTTACTATTATGAACAAATCCCCAGTTTGGAATCACAAGTCAAAATCCCTGGTTTTCCTCATGTAATCTCAGTGTGGGACAAAAGCCCATTTTTTCATTCAACATGTTGTTATTGACACCTAATATGTAAC